AAACGGTAATTTGCCTCCAAAGTCTACTGAGCACATAAATGTCCCGGCATGGATGAACCCAGTGGTTTTTAGGCACTATGAGCTTTTAGTTCCAACCTCTAAGACATACATTGAAGTCTTTTAAACCTTTAAAATAAGAATTCAGTTGGCAGACCCAAAACAACATATGAATGCACAACAACCGATCGGAGGTCCAGGTGATTGTACTGCGGCTCCGACCAGGACTCTGAACATTAGTCAGTACATTTGTTTTAATGTAAACCGTCAACGTTACATCACAAGTTATTATCCTGTGTTCTGAACACTTGTGACGTTATTCTGACTACTGGTTGTCACACATTCAGAATCTCAATGTTTCATTTCACAGGCAGCTACATAGTTAAATTAATATCATAATTTAGTCGAGCTCAGACCTTGTATAGGTCTCACTGTTGCTAATGTAAAAGTTACAACCAGTACTTACTCTTGGCCACTAACTTGTCCACAGTCAGTCCTCTCTGCCTCGCCTTCTCCGGCAGCTGCTCGATCGCTGTCATTAGATCTTCCTTCAGTTCACATTTGGGCACAATTCGCCCTTCAGACAGACTGCAGCTCAGCGCTGCCAAGAGAAAAACCACAAGTATCTTCATCTTGACTCCAGCTCTCTGAAAACATACAGGGGTGATATGTAATATGTTAGTGTCTTGGCAGAGCCATCGCTGGCGAATCCAGAGAACATCTTTTGTCCTCCTCAGATAAAGACCACTCCTTGGTTCTTAGAAGCAAGGGTCCTGAAGAGCACGGTGGCTGCCAAATCTCCGCTTCAGGTTTCTGAGCTGTAAAGAAAAATATTGTCTGTACCTGAAAATATATTTTTCTTCAGTTACAAGGTTACACCTTCATCCTGTTGAAAAGACCTGGCCACGAGACTAAAAACAGATACGGCGAAACAGTTTATCTTCTCACGTCATCATAAGACATTTATTATTTCAGAGGATCGGGTGTCAGCCCCGGCAGTGTGACAGTGAATACAGAGTGTGTGCTGAATACGAGCCTTGTTCGTTTCCTGAGCACAGATATCATGTTAAGTGCAACAAAAGAAAGGACAATGCCAAGAGCAGCAAAACAGAAACATGGAAGATGAGCAGAAGAAGACACAGTTTTAGTGAATACGTTTTCCATGAAATGTCTTTTTTACTTTAATACTAAATACTAAAAATAATAAAATCCCCACCCATCTAGAGTTCCAGGCTAATAAATCAAACATTGGACTTATGTAAAGGTCAGCTTTTGATGCAATGAAAGTCAGAGAAAGAGCTGTTGTGAGAAACTTTCCACTTTCAGCAGATGAATGTGAAAACCCTGCTGAAAGTGGAAAGTTTCTCATTGAAAATCTGATTTTTAAAGGGGCTTACGAGGAAGTTTGGAAGTCAACCCAGGTGCATTATGCATCTTATACATTATATCTTAAACCTGAAGCCTCCAGAGAAGAGAAAGGGCCTTTACATTGAAGTAGCAGACAACTTGTGTCCAGCAGGAAAACTTTAGAAATTAACAAAAAATGCATATTCATAGAGTCTGTCATTTTTAATGAGGTAGAAGGAGTACATACCTTTTTAAGGACTAATGTGGAAATTAGACATTATTGTTCCAGGACAACTATTTGTATATGTAGTTAGATCTCACAGTATTTTGTTTGTGATGCTAAACCAAAGCGCTAAGTTCCAGTGTTGAATCCTGGATGAACACACAAACGCATAAAAAGGAGCACACACAGATTTCCAGGTCAAAGCTGACTGATCTGTTTCAGAGCATCTCATGCGCCATGAGACAGAAATGTTAACATGTTTATCTGACATGGACAAAATATCTGTCTGGAGGGGACAAGATTTTTTGTAAAACTTCATGTCACCAGCAGGTCTTCTCGGGTTCTCTGATCAGGGATTGTTGTTGTGTTTCTTGCTCCAGGGTGGAAACTAAAGGAGCTTTGATCCAGAAAAAAACATCAATCTGGTTTTATTGCTATGAAGTTTCGTACAAATAATAATGGTCCCAAAAAGATTAACAGAGTAATTGTGATCCTCTCACTCGCCGTCTAGCGCCACCAACAGATCAGATCAGACCACATGGGCCAGCCATCACTCCCCATGTGCACCCATGACACTTTCTCCGGTTCTTTTCCTTTCTTGGACCACTTTTGATAGGTACTGACATCTGCAGACCGGGAACACCCCACAAGAGCTGCAGTTTTGGACATGTTCTGACCCAGTCGTCACATCACAATGTGGCTCAGATCCTCACACTGCCCATTTTTCCTGCTTCTAACAAATCAAAATGACTAAATGGTCACTTGCTGCCTGACATATGCATCCCACTGACAGGAGCCCTGAATCAGTGTTATTCACTGTTAGTGGTCATAGTGTATCTGCATTGAGTGATGATTTTGGAGTCTAAACTGTTGTCCTGCTGCAAAAAACATTTAAAACGTGAGTTGTCTCTTTATATTTCTTTTAATTGTATTTTATTGATAAATTCACCATGTTTGCTCTCTCTCTCTCTCTCTCTCTCTCTCTCTCTCTCTCTCACACACACACAATGGCTGCTTTTCATTATTCTAACATATCTCCTTGTTTGCCTCACTCGCTTCCTTTTCCTCACGGCTCCTCCAGAAGCTTTCTCTTCTCCTCCAGGTGCATTTAAGGAATTGGAAGATCCGGTGGATAGGGGGGAGGATTCCAGGTCCCCCGGAGGAGAGAGGACGCGAGGAAGCATAAGTTAGTATAATGAAAAGCACCCACTGTGACTGCTCTCGGAGCAGGCCTCCCCCTCCTGCAGCCTGGTGGGTGGAGTCGGGTCAACAGGGAGATTCAACTCACCTGGTTCTGCTGGCCAGACTGTATATAAAGCTGGAGGCAGTCTTCCTCTCTTCCCTGTCTTCATCCCTGTTTGGTTTTCATTTTCTCACCTTCATTTCTTTCTTAGTTCTGTTAAATAAACGTATTTTTAGTTACAACTTGTGTCAACATTACCAACAATATGTGGTTTATTACCGCTTCGTATTGAAACAGGAAGAAGCAGAGGTGTGACCGAAGATGAAATATGAGAACGAAGTTAATTTCATTTTTCCTTTTATATCTTGAGTTACGACAAATGTAAGTTTACGTCCCTCATTTAGATTTGATGAAATACTTAAAATGGAGCTTTGATGGAACCTGTTTGATAATGTTTTGCGTTTTCTGAATGATCTTTTTAAAGCGTGGGACAGGAGGAGCAACATATGACAGATAAAGTCCTCAGATTGTATCCAGATTGTAGATTGAGAAATGCACCGTGGATAGTGATAATGTGGACTTTTTGTGTTGTTTGGATTTGTGTGTTGTGTTTTGTGGGGTGTGTTGGCATGTTTGTTGTATTTGTGTGTTATCTGTTGGAAGGTCATTTGTGTTTGTTTGTTTGTTTGACTGTTGTTTGTGTCTTTTGATTGTTAGATGGCGGAGGTTTGTTTTGTTGTTAGTTAATGTGTCTGAATAACCCCATGAGAGCTGGGACTTACATATAATAATAAAATAAAGCAGCTAAATTATTGTTTAGAAAATTCTCAGAAACTGTTGAAATTTCTATCTGGGCAACGTTTCTCTTAAATTTGAAATTAATGGTCTTATTTTGAAAAAGAAAAAATCATGGAATTGTATTATTTTTCCCTAAATACATTAGAAAATAGCAATTCATTATCATTCGTAATCATTCATCGTTTTCCAGAATCTTGAGATGTGCTTGCCCATTTAAACACACTTAACTAGTTTTACAACTCAAATGAGACTTTAAACTGATTATTCAACCTAAGTTCAGTTAAATAAACTTTACATTTTTAAGCTGAGCCAAAATGATTTACAGTGAAATCCCACTGTTATTTCTGTTGTAATAATATTAATAATATGTAAGTATAGCCAATAATGGATATAGTTCCAGTGTGAGACGTGTTGTAAATGTGCAGCTGCTCTATAGCGCCTTCCAGAGGGCATGAAGAGGATCAGACACAGTTTGTCTGACTTTCTTGTTTAAACTACGTTTTGTAAATGAATCCCAGTTGTTTCTGCTCTTTCCCAGTAATCTTACTGGCTGTATTTTGTCTGTTTTTGTCCTTAGCCCCCCAGGTTCCTGTAAAATGTACACATATTAAAAGTTAAAACCTTTTCAAAGACTTTGATAAACAAAATATTCTTGTTTGTATCGTATGAATCCAGTTTTCTGACCAGATACAGACGCTGCATTGCTCTTTTAAAAATGTGCCCTGTGTTGGCTGTAACAGTCTCACAATAACTATCTGTTGTCTCACTTTTATTAATAAAAAGGACACGGTCTTCACACAGTGTAGTGAGCTCACCAATATGGTGGAAATATGAAGACTGTTTAACTGTTGTCACCAGGTCATCAGCATATTTATACAGTTGAAAAAGGTGAAAGCGCAAAACCTCTTGTATCAGCGGTAAAAGCACCACTGCACCTTAATCCACTGTTTAATGTGGAGTAAAGTATATTTCTGCATTCAGTTAAAATCTATAGATTAAATGTTCAGTGTCTCCAGCGCCTCGGACCTTTAACGAGACGTTGAAAGATGAGTAACTGTTTCCTTTTTCTATACATGTACATAAAATGCTGGTCAGTGCAACCTGTCTAAAATCAGTGAAAAATTGTGTTTTAGTGTAGAATCATTTTAGGTTTGAGACAAGTATATTAATGCCATTATTACTGAGAGAGCCATGTGGCCCATTCTATTACTGTATGTAATCAGAACTAGTAGTTTGATCAGAGAAGATTTAAGTTTGATTATAGAAAAAAAATACATGATGTCAAACACATACCACAGAGGAAACATGTTTATTGAAGGATTACAGATTGCAGAAGACTTTTCTTATCAGGAAATGAACAAGATTCAAGCTTTTCTTAATATCATCAAAACTATTCAAAGTACTGACATACACTTCCAGTTTTAACTTCAAGTTCTGGTGTTTTTCGGAGGAAAAACAAAAGAACACCCACAAACCAAAAAAGCAATAAAATAGCTTAACTAAAAGAACAAATGTTTGGGAGAGAACTGTGGTTGAAAGGTCACACTGGAGGTGATGTTGATGAAGATGTCGTTGTTGGCGTTACATCCTGCTGCTCATTCACATTCGGCAAAGAAATTTGCAGTGTGGAAACACTTGCGAGGGGCGCCGCGAAGTACGGCCCTGATTTAATGAAAAAAGAAAAAAAAATTAAGTGAAAACAATTATTAGTTTGTCAATAAGCAGCATATGCATATCGATTATATATTGTGTGTTAGTATGTTCCCCTGTTGGATAGAGTCCTCACATACATGTATATACAGTATATTATTGACTGTGACTTCACTTTTTTTTAACCAGGTAAGTCTGATTTGAGGTCAGGACAATACTGTTTATATACCAAGTTAAACCTAATGCAGTCCTGCAACAAATCCTCTGCCCTAATGGAGTTTATAATGTTCAGTTTGTGTTAAAATTGTTTTACATAAGGGTTTAAACTTTAGGATAATTTTGGAGGAGCTTCTAAAATGCCTGCTCTCGTTAGTCATGAGGAAGTGGGGTCACTTTCTTAACCCTTCATCCAGAGAAGCTTCTGCACATCACATGTTTCGTAAAATTTTAAATTCGTACATTTTAATTCACGTAAAGCCATTTAAATTTTGGACATTTTTGCAACCTAAACGTGAGGCTATAACACTGTATATTGACCAGTAACAGCTAAGCTAACTGTGATGTTAATCATGATAACCCTGTTCATATATTAACACCTGCCAAGCACCAAATAAACCACCACTTCTGAGTGGTACTCAATACTATATTATAGTTATACTATAAGTCTTAAAAAAAATAACTAAAAATAACTTTGCACAAAGTATCACTTTAACTTTGCTGTATAGAAACTTACCACAAGTAATTGGTCTTCACAAAGCATTCAACGTCGTCGGTTATGTCGTCGTTGGTGAAGGCTTCAGGGGGGGAAAAAAAGAGCAGTTATTAATATGCAAAATATCTCATTTAAATAATAAGCAGCGATTACTCGTCTCTCTGTATGTCTCTGGCTCAAAGACTCACCATCGCAGCTTGTACCGCACACGTTTTTGGACCAGCGATAACCGGAATTACAGAAGTAGCTGTCAGTCAGCTGGAAGAGCCCGTAATATCCGAGGGACCAAGGCCTCAAGTTCTTTTTGGGCTTCCAGCGACGCACGGATCGTTTGTTACGTTTCCTGTCTTCCTTCTGCTCATCGCTCTCAACCTCGTTGCTCACTTCGTCTTCGTCTTCGTCTTCGTCTTCCATCTTGTTGTCATCGTTCTCCATCTCCTCCTCATCAAACTTGTTTTCTTCCTCTTGCAACATGTCCTCAAAGCTCACGTCCTCTTCTGACGCATCAGCCTCTCGCTTCCGTCTCATGCTGCCTCCCGCCGTCGTACTGGTCATTGGTCCGGTAGTCACTGATACAATGGTTGTTGCTTCAGTGGTCGTTGGTTCTTGGGTGTTTGGTTCTTGGGTTGTTGGTTCTTGGGTTGTTGGTTCTTGGGTTGTTGGTTCTTGGGTGGGTGGTTCTTGGGTGGTTGGTTCTTGGGTGGTTGGTTCTTGGGTCGTTTGTTCTTGGGTTGTTGGTATGGTTGTCACTGCCACCGTTGTTGGCTTGGCTGTTGTGGTTATGCGTTTGCCCAACACCCTGACCAGGGCGGTGTTCAGACGGGAGCTCCGTTCCACCTGACAGATAACTGCGGTAAACCAGTCATGCGAGCAGATAGCAGGAAGCAAACAAGAAGATAAGCAGAGAAAACTGAGGGTGAGAGTCAATACATTTTCTTCCTTTAACAACCACATGTATGTATATTAATACTTTTATTTTTATCAGATTATGAGACGTCTAGCAACTCTTTTTTCTAGTTGTTTTGCAGCTCAAATAAGATGCATCAGTTCTCTTACAGTAAAACTCAGTCAATAACAAAAGTAAAAACCAAATAAGCAAACTGTATTATTTTTGCATTTGCTCTTTCTTTGTCTGCTCTGACAGCTGAGTCATGTGTGCTGGTGACTTTGGACGTCACAACTTGACTTTTCTAACCCTGAAGATGCCTAACACGCCCCGTTTATCAACCTCACCTATGGCCAGGATTCTTTCCCTGAACCTCTCAAGTCTTCTGGGCAGGATGAGCGCCTCCCCCAGCTTATCTCTCAGCTCACATCTGGAGACGGTCCGGCTCTCAGACAGGCTGGGCACCAGAACCGCCACAGCCAACACCACCAGCAGCCCCAACTTCATGTCAACACCTTCTGTGGGGAGGAGACTGGTATTAACTGATA